AATCCAGGATAGATATACCCCTCAGGGCCAACAATGAGAATAGAGATACCAGGAGGATAAGGGGAAGGTGGGGGAGGAAAGGGGGTATAGATCACAAGGATCAACATATAACCCCCTCCCAGGTGGACAAACAACTGAAAAGTGGGGCGACAGATGATGATGTAAGATATGAAAATAATAATCTATAACTTAGCAAGGCTCCATGAGGGAAGGCCGGTAGGGGAGGGAGGGGGAAAATGAGGAGCTGATATCAAGGGCTCAAGTAGAAAGAAAATGCTTTGAAAATGATGATGGCAGCATATATACAAACGTGCTTGACACAATGGATGATTATATGAATTGTGATGAAATGTAAGAGCCCCCAATAAAAGTATTTAATTAAAAAAAAAGACAGGCTAGAACTGTCCTTGTGAGCTTTCAAGACTAAGTCTTAATGGGAGTAGAAAGCCCATCCTTGTCCCATGGAGTGACTGGTGGTTTCGAACTACTGATCTTATGGTTAGCAACCCAATGCTTAACCATGATGCCTCTAGAGCTCTTTGAGTCATATCAGGCACTCACTATCTATCAAATGCAATAACACAGAGAGAAACCTGCTATCCTGTGAGAATGGCCCAGTTCTCCAAATAAAATGATACAAAACAAGCCATCACATTGGCTGGGGAGAGAGAGAAGCATTAAAAGCCACTGTATTTCAAATTACAAGAAAGGTTATGCTTGGGGTTATTTAGTAAGAACCATCACTTTTCTCATTCTTCTCTTTCCCACACACAGATGGGAAAGGAACCCCATGGTTTGCTGATCCTGTACTCTTAGCCCAGAAGTGCACTGTCCAAAAGAGAAGGGACACCAAGGTACCACTCACACTGCCATTGAGTCGATGCCCACTGATAGCGACCCTACAGGACAGGGTAGAGCAGCCCCTCTGAGTTTCTGAGACTGTCACTCGTAGAAGATCAGAAACCTCCGTCTTTCTCCTTCAGAGCAGCTGGCGGTTTCAAACTGCTGGCTTCGCAGTTAGGAGCACAGTGCGTAACCACACCACCAGGACGCCTCCAAGATAGCACAGCTGTCTTTAATTGCATGTTCCATTTTGATTTGGTTACATACATAACCTGGGAAACTTGAATTTTATGACAGAAGAAATGCTTACAATATAACATTAAATAAGTTGGCTACTGTATTTTATAAAATCTCTATTGGGGAGGAGAAATTATATATATACATATATATACACACACAAACACACACATTTATGTCGAAGATAAACACTAGAAGAAAATAAAACTAAAATTTTAACTGTAGTTATATCCCTTGGTGGTTAAATTGAGTTTTTATGTGGGACTTTTTTGTATTTTCCCCAGTTTCTAAACTAAAGGTTTTCAAGTTCCATTAAAGTTATGGGAATGCCATGTAAGCATTTCCTAATAATGCTATCCTTTCTCTTTGGTCTAAGTGGTTCTAAGAAAGCATTAATCAATTTTAAGAGTGATTTGCCAATGTATTAGTAGCCTACAATTTGTCACCTTCATTCTCAGCTTCTTAGAATCTTCCTCCCATCCATCTTATTTGGATTGCCCTGGGTGGTAGAGAATGGAATTAAGAATCAATGAGTTTGAGAAGAGCTGTGCTACTAGAACATTCTGGGCGGTGGGGGGGTGTTCGTCTGGGTACTTTTGAGAAACAAATTCACAGAAACTCATATGTATGAGGGAGTTTATTATATAAAGG